CATATGGTACATATTACTTCCTGCGTATTATCATTTGTGCTTATGTAGATATGGATGCACTTGTGAATGTGTGTGTGCAGCAGACCTGCATTGCAATGTGACACCTCTGAGAGGAGTTAGGGAAAGAAGGATGGTTGTGCTGGGAGAGCTTCAGACCATAGTGCAGACCTGGGTAAGATGTTGGCCAGGGCACTGAAGAGCTTGAGCGGAGGAGGCCTGTTGGAGGAGACTTGTTGGGTAGGAAAGGCCTGGCTCTGGTAGCCCTGCCTTGCTCAGCCATAGGCTGGTAGCTGCCTGGGGTGCACGTGGCCTTGGCATGTATGATGCAGCAGGTGCCAAACGCATGGCAGATGGAGGCTGCCAGCTAATGACAGTCCCACAGCAGATTTTCTCTTGGAAGGAGATCTATGTGTTGCACTCCCATGGTTGCCACATGGGTGGATTTTAGGGTTTTATCTTCAGAGGCAACTTTACTTTCAAGTTCTTGGTATAGGTGGGAGTAGAGTGAGAGTGGAAGGAACACTTTGTTGCCCCCATGTAAAGACTGAAGATATCAAGAGTTTATGAAAACTTAGGCAGTTAAAAGTATTTTTAAACAGCAACATACCAGGCAAATAACTCTCCATTTTTAAAATTATTAATACCAAGAAAATTTTGAAATAGCAAAACAAACAATCAGCTGAACTCTTCAAGGCAAAAAAAACCAAAACAAAACGGGAATCGGTAAGTGTTCAAGTAGACAGTGTTTCAGATGACGATCTGGTGTTAGACTTTTCTTTTTTAATATCTGCAAAACCCACTAGAGAAACAAGAGAAACCTTCTTCTTAGCTTCCAAAAAAGGAAATATGAGAACATTAGACACAATGAGTAGCCGAAAAGGTGATCAGGTCCTCTTTAATTATTGCTGCTTCTCTATTTTTCTTGCGGTTGGATCTCCAGCTATCCAAAATACTAACTCCATTATGTTAATTCATTTTGAAACATAACAATGATTACTTTAATATTGTTTTAAGAAATGGTGAATTAAAATACTTAGTATAATTTGACTAGTTATTTAGATCTGTGCTGTCTAATATGGTAGCCACTAGCCACAGGTGACTATTTAATTTAAATTAAATTTACATAATGAAAATGAAATGTAGTAAAAAAATTCAGTTTCTCACTTGCACTAGTCACATCTTGAATGCCCAAGGGCCACAGATATTGGACAATGCTGATCTAGACGATGGATTAGATTTTGAGCTAAATTGGTATGGTATACTGGATAGCCAAACAGCTTCTCACTTGCAAATGGTTAAACAGTGACTTTCGTAAATGCTTATAATATCTCTCTTTGCTATGCGAACTCTCTTCCTCTTTTCCTCCCCCTTGGTCCTTCCTTCCCTTTCTTTGTTTACTCTTCTGTTGTCTGGTGAGAATACAAGTTATGCTCCTAAACATTCTCAATAAATTTAGCCTGCCTCTCCCATATCGGATAGACTTTAGATCAGTTAGAATTTCAAAATAGTAATCAGTTGGAGACTTGTACCCTTCCTCTTGGAAATGAGCTTTTTCACCTAGGTTAAATTCAAGTTTTTAGAATTAAATGATATCATATGTACACTGACAGTGGGTCGAGCAAGATGGCCAACTAGAAGGATCCACTGCTCATCTCTCCCACAAAGACAGAGAATACACAACTACCGTTGGACAAAAATAAGTAAAGGAGAGAGAGCTCAGTGTTGGTCTCTGCTGCTGGCAGATAGGGCCCTCAGTGAGTGCCGTAGCCAGATCAGCCTTGGTAAGTGGAAGTCCACGTTGCTGAGGCCATGTGTAACCTCCACCCCTACCACCGTGGCCACTTTGCTCATGAGCCCACTGGGTGATGATGGGTGGCTGGAGGAAGAGGCTGACTAGTATCCACAGCACGGGTCATCCTGTCCACCTGATTATCAAAGTCCTCCTCTGTTGAGGTCACTCTTTGATGGGCATTCACATGGGAAAGAAATATCTTCACATCCTTTGCCCACTCTGAGAGGTCTTTCAGCATACCTCTTCCCCAAATTTCCTTCTCACCAGTTTTCCAGTCGTGTTCCTTCCATGTCTCTGACCATCTGGCCAAGGGCTACAGCCCACGAATCAGTATATAATCGCAATTCTGGCAAAGCAAAGTGCACAGCCAAGTGCACTGCCTGAAGTTCTGCCCATTGAGAAGATTTGCCCTCACCACTGTCCTTCAGGGATGTCTCAGAAAAGGGGCACAGTGCTGCAGCTGTCCACTTTCGAGTGGTGCCTGCGTATCGTGCAGAACCATCTGTAAACCAGGCCCTAGTCTTCTCTTCCTCTGTCAACTGATCATAGGGAACTCC